GTAATCTTGGACGTGAATGTTTGGCCATGCATGAGATCTATATCCTTGAGTTGAAATGGAAAAGTATTAAGGAGTGTAAGAGCCTTTACAGCCATGCCAAGGCTTAAAGGTTTCGACTTTATGAGTAAGGATGCTTAAATAAAGCCGGATCTAGAAGTTGAAGTTATGTCTTAACCGATTAAGACCAGAAATGATGAATGCTTAAGTCTGATGGTTACGCTGGGCGTAACTCCCAGTACGCGCAGCGTACTGGGTGGACACCCCGATTCTTGGGTTGGCAATGTACGCCCCGCGGACTCGAAAGGTTGACTTTGTTGACTTTTTAGGTTTTTGGTAAACATGTAGACTTTGAGTCAAGGAAGGGTAAAATGGTCTTTTACCCTCTGAGGAGTGATGATAAGGGGTAAAGTCTAGTTATGGAAGTCTATATTATTTAAAATGATATTTGTTATGATTAGGCGAGGTTGAGTCTTCGTTGAGATTTGGAGATAGCGAGTACGCGAGATTCTAGACTTTCCACGAGGTGAGTTTTCTCACTATATTGTACCCGGAAGGGTTTTATTGTGTGACCGGAAGGTCGGATATGTTATGAGTTGTATGCGTTGTATATGATAAGTTAATCGTTGGTATGTGCTATGTATGCTATGTTTGATATGGGCCAGAAGGCATTATGTTATGGGTCGGAAGGCATATATGATATGGGCCGGAAGGCGTTGTGATGTGGACCGTAAGGTTGATGCAAGTAGGACCGGAAGGTTTACCGAGTTGGGACGGATGTCCCCTGAGACACATGGACCGGAAGGTCAGCGCCTGGAAAGGCGTATGTGCGTAAGTAGTATTTTGGGGAACTCACAAAGCATTTATGCTTATAGTTGTTGTGTTGTGTGTTTCAGGTACTAGCGAGGACCATGGGAAGGCGCCGGCGTGATTGTACACACTGACGAAGGAGCTGTTTTATGATCATGGGATGTATTTTGTTACAATGACATTTGTTACACATGTGATTTCAGAATATTAAATGTTGGTTTTTGATGTTTGCTAAAATGAAAAATTGTTTTGAAAATTCACGTTGTTACATGTGTTCCTAATATTCATGTGGAAGGGATGAATAGGCAAGTAAGGATAAGCTCTTTTCAATGATAATTCAATTTCTGCATTCAACATAACCGTTTTGTTCGGGGGTATAGGGGCATGAAATACGATGGTGAATACCACAATTATTGAGATAGGTGGAAACATTGCGGTATTCACCACCCCAATCTGATTGAAAACTCTTTATGTCACAACCAAATTGAGTTTTAATCATAGTACGAAAATGAATAAAAGTTTGTAAGACTTGAGACTTACTCGGAAGAAAATAAATCCACACAAATTTGGTAAAGTCATCAATGAATAGAACAAAAAAAGCGATTTCCATTTATAGATAATAATGGAAATTGACCCCAAACATCTGCGTATATAAGTTCAAATGGTTTGGAACACGAAATATGACTAGATAAAAAGGGGAGTTTATGACTCTTGCCAAATTGAAAAGGTTCACAAACAGGTAACAACTTATAGATGAAAGGTAGAAACTAGACGTCTAAGAATAGCTTCGTGAGGGTGTGCAAGTCAGTTGTTCCAGCCTATCATGGAGGTACGCACACTTGACAGAGCCATGGTAGATGCAGGTTTAGGTTGGGGAAGCTCCAGGCAATATAAGCCATTATCAACGTGCCCCTTGAGGATGGGAGTGCCCTGAAATGTCTTCACAATACAATGATTAGGCCAAAACTCTAAGAAGACATTGATATCTTTTGTAAGCTGTGAAACACTTAAAAGATTTTTAGTGAGGCGAGGGACAAGAAAAACTTTAGGTAAATGCAATGAAGATAAGGAAGAAGAGCCAAAATGAGTAATAAAAAGCTTATTACCATTACCAACTTGTAACTTATCATCCCCTGTATAACTTTCAGTGAGCTGAAGTTTGTTTAAGTCAGGAGTGACATGGTCCGTTACACCCATGTCAAAGTACCATGAAGGATCAACAATGGTGGATGGACTGTGATAGTTGGTGAGATGGGCCTGATGGGAGGCAGTGGGACGTGGATGAGTGCGAGGAGGTGGATGTCGGGAAGGATAATTAATTTGATTACCCCTTTGCCAAAAATTAATAGCCTCGTGGGCTGGCTTGTTGCACAGCTGGCAATGAAGACGATGACGATGATTGTCTGAACTTCTGTGAGTGAGGGGAATCGGAACCTATAGGTTGTGAGGAGGAGCAATTGGTGGAGGAATTTTGGGACACCTGGTGAGCAGTGAGAGAGGGCAGAGGCGTAGGGTCAGCTGGGGATGGTAGGTTAATAGCAGCTTGTCTGGCGAGGTCATGATCAAGTCGGACTTCTTCTTGGAGGAGCAAACCCACGAGAGTATCCACAGTGTTGTGTTCAGCGTGCATAAGGAAGGAGGATGCAAAGGAACTGTATGAGGAATCAAGTCCATGGAGAATATACCACATGAGTTCTTCGTCGGAAGCCGGTGTGAGATTCTCAGCCAATCGATCAGCAATTTTCCGTTTTCGTTCAAGATAATTAATCATAAAGAGAGATCTTTTGGATGAAGTCTGCAATTGAGTGCGCAGGGCCATGCGATGAGCACGAGTGTGTGCTTGGAACGTGCGCTCAAGGATATGCCATGCTTGGTGGGAAGAAGTCGATCGGGCAACAGTGGCAAGTGTACAGTCTGATAAGGTCGATTTTAACTAATGAAGGACAAATATGTCCCTCTTTTTCCAGGTCGTGAACATAGGGTTAGGAATAGGAGCAGCATCATTAACTAGGCACCATCATCAGCATCATCAGGATCGACAATGGGTGAGATTGTTATAGGTGGAGGAGTGGGGTTGAGAACAAAGGAGTCCAATTCAAATCACTCAAGGGCAGAGAGAGTGTTTGTACGCCACAGTGGGTAGTTATCCCTATCCAATTTGATGCTAATGGGAAGAATTGGAAAATTGAGGGTGGAGGATGCAAGGTGGGCCACAGCAAGAAGTTGTTGATTGGTAGCAGCTATGGTGGAAATTGTAAGCAAGAAAATAGAAAAAAAAAATCTCACGGCTCGGATACCATAAAAGATTGAAATGAGTAAATGGTAAAATTGTATCTGTTGTCTTTCCAAAAGGAACTTGTACAATCTCTAAATATTATTAAAAGAGAACCCTTAATTCACTTATGAAGCAATCAGGGCCCTTGATTGTGTTTTATTACTCTGTTTTCCACCCTTACATCAAATTGCTGACATCATCATTCCCAAATAAAATTCAAACACAATTACATTTAATTATAGAATCTGTAATAATTATAGAATCTTTAAATTCAGTTATTATTTTATCAATTGAAGCATGTCATTCTATTTATATACATGATATCAGTTTCTTTAATTAATATTATTCCTAATTTAACTCCATTATTTATAGGTTTTGATTTCCAAATTCAAACCCGTTTATATTTTATTTATTTGTTTGTTTTTTTTTAAATCTCATTAAACAAGCATATCAATAATTAAGTTATTAACCTATAAAATATAATTTAATCTCATTAAATCAACAAAATATTTAAGAGTCAAAATTAAATTCAATATTATTCATAATTTATCTCCTAGTATATCCCAAATAAAATGAATCAATTTGAGATAATTGTTTGAATTTTAAAACTTATTAAATAAGAAAGTCAATTAATTTGAAGTTTTGAATTAATATAGCTAATATCTTTTTTTCCCATATGAATAGCCGAAAATCTCCAAACTGATGTCTTATGATCCTAATTTTTTAGAAGATAATGATTTCATTATTCAAAAACACCTTATATATACGATTACACTGAAGTGATTATTTTTACAATTTTAGATTGAGTCTTATGATTTACAGTGTTCTTCTCGAGCAATCTTGTTCTTCTCGAGCAATCTTATTCTCCAGTTCTTTTTCCAAGCTTTTACTTTACTCTGTTCTCCTTATTCTTCTTCAATTTCTTGCATTTCCCAAATATCTCACTAGGTCTTAACATTTCCCATAATTCAACTACAAAAAGTCATGGATGCACTTCTTGAATTAATCATCTAAACCGAATTTCATTTGTTAGTTGGATGTAGTGATCAAAATGCAAGATTTGTGAAAGTTCATTATTATTTATTAGTGTTAACCTTTAACAAATTATGAAACTAATATTATAATTTTGTTCATAACATGTTTTTTTTTTGTAATAATTTATTTGATCGGAAGATATGTATATGTGATTGGGTGTAACCTGAAAAATCATATTTTAACTTTTATAAGGAAAAAATACTTTTAAATCGACCAAATTACACTGTCTGAATTTGATGTTTATGGTTATGACAATTCACTTTATTTGTAATGTTTATCAAATTTCTTTGCAGAATTTAATGTTGTTGGTACATGTAACAATTTATTGTTCTTTTTGGTTTTACATGGCCAATATGAAAAGGGTCATATGAGCCTTGATGTGGGTTGGTACACCGAACAAAGTCAATTCATAAAACTACTACACAACAGGCTTTAATCAAGAAATCGTATTATGTTGTGATAAAACAAAGATCACATAGATCATTTATGTTAAAAATTATTGTATTAAAACACCAAATTGATGTAATATATATTAAATATTTTTATCTAATAAGTTTGGTTCAAGAACTCTAAAAATAATTCTAACACTTTTTTATTAAAATTCAACCTAAGACAAAACCACCTATTAATGTAATATATATTTAATATATGTTCCCACGTTAAACGCGTGTCATAACCTATTAATTTATATACAGAAAAACAGAAGTGGTGCCTAACTTAACTGCTTACAATTAGGAACAAACATACATGTGAGTAAATATCCTAACGACAACGTATAACTTGACTTATTCTATTTCTAGCCGTTATTAAAAGTGAAACCATGCGACTCGTTCTTTCATGAGCATCGAGTACTACTCGATGTTGATGACCAACCCATCGTTAGATGCGCAATAAGGTGACTTTATTAAGTTTAAGTTTTAATATATATATATATATATATATATATATATATATATATATATATATATATATATATATATATATATATATTACTTTGGATTGTTTTGAAATTTTGATGCTAAATTTAACATTTAAATGGACTGATTTATTTTCCAGAGCATGACTGCACACGATGGATGGTATGTATTCAGGGGTGACAGTGAAAGCAAATCGGATATGATATTTACCACAAAAAAACATTGCGTGATCCAGCTGTTTAAGAGTGATGTAGATGTGTTCTTGGCAAACAAAACCAGTAGTAAAAATGTTTGTGATTTCAAGGTCGAAGGAAGCTGGTCCAAGAGAAACTGCACTATTTATATGGGAGATACTTCAACCACAATAGCCCAAGTAATTTAATTTTCAAACCTTTTTTAGTTGGTTTTCTAGTAGAGTTCCATGTTTTCAGTTATCTCTGTATAACTCAAAAGATTCAGTAAGTAACTTAAAGCTCAATCTGAAACTTACTAATGACATATTTATTCCTGTAGATGTCCAAAATGCAGTCATCGGAGAATATTATAAAGTTCGTTAATGAGAAATTCAAGGTGACCATTTCTCCCAATGTGGACTTTGCGTTTGTGATCACAATGATAGCAATTGTTGAGGCTATGGAAAACTCTGACAAAAAAGTAAAGGTGCTGTGCAAGTTGTTGGAGGTGTGGCTGACGTTGTTGGCACAATACTCCTTTTATAGTCATATTAGTTGCGTTCTCTACTCCTAAATTCTTCCATGGATCAACGGGTTTATATATGGCTTATCTGGCAATTCATATCATCTTTTCACATCGTGATGGATATGGTATGATTACCATGATAGGCTCAAATTATGGTTCCTTAATTGTGTTAATTAGAAGTAATTAAGTTATAATCTGGACATGTTAATTAGTTGTATCCTAGTGCCGAAGAATAAATGTTGCTTTGGAATTTATTTATTTTTTTAAAGTTTGTGTAACTATTAAGAAGTGGTGTTCAATAGTATCAAACATTGTAATATAAATATCTAGCAATAGTCCAGATGTATGTGTTCAGCTTTTTAATAAATACGATGTTGTATTAAACAATATTTTTTTTAGCAATTCTTCCTATATATTAATATTGTTTAGCAATTCTTCCTATATATTATTTTAAGTCCTTACAGTTCACTTTCATTATTAAGCAATTTGTGGATGTAGATGTGTATTTCATAAACGGGTCTCATGGTTTTATTATTTTAATATCTATATTTCATATTTAAAATTATAAAACAAAAACAAAAAATGTTTATAAAACCAAAAACATGTTTAATATTTGTCTTTGTTTTATAAAACTAAAACTAAAATTTATGATAAAAAGGTTTAGTAACATTTGCATTGAATGTATCGATTAGCTCTTATTTAATGGCGTAATTTCTTTTTTTATATTTTTATGTTAATATAAAACTTTTAGTAGTATGAAAAATATCTAAACACAATACATAATACTATAAATTTGAAATAAGATAGATGACATAAAATGAAAATATTTATTAAATGTTGGCCCATGATATCAACCTTTGTAAAAAACGGATGGTTACTACACCCCTTGAGTCCTAAATTGTATAATTCACATAAATGTTGGGTCCTCTTTATGAAATACACATCTAGTAGCTGGGAAATGTACCAGGTTTAATACCCATGTAGGGTCAGAGGTCGGGAGTTCAATCCCTACAAAACCCATGTAACGCCTCATTTCTGGTATGTAATTTTAATTATTTTATTTTCCATTTTTTAAGGGCTACTCGACGAGTCAGTAGCCCTAAGTAGCCCTAACTCGTCGAGTAGATATGGGACAGCACATAGAGATTAGTGGGACAACTCGACAAGTTAATATTTCGGACTCTGCGAGTCGGCCAGGCTGGATGAAACCCTAATCTTTAAGGTTTGTACCATATTCAAACGTCATTATAGCACCCCACTCCAGCCTCCATCACTTCCAGAGCACCTTCTACGAAACCCTAACCCTCCATTAGTGAGCTCGAGTGATTTCTTGCCAATTTGAAGTGAAGTTGTGCATTTTGGAGCTTGTAGAAGAAGAAGAAGAAGAAGAAGAAGAAGAAGAAGGTAGAAGGTTCAAAGGAGAAGAAGAAGATCCAGGAGCTATACCTCATTTACTACATCTTCTGGTAGTCAAGCCTCAAACTTGATCCTTCCTTTATTAGATCTTCATATATGCTTGTTCTTGTCACTTTTGGGTAATTTGAAGGATAATCCCGAGAATTGGAGCTCTCATGAGGTTATGGACTTCAGATCTAGACACCCGAGCTCCAGGAGCTCAAGGTAGCCACCTTTATTCAACAAAGGCCCTATCACAAACCTTAGGTCTCCATTTCTAGCTTAGTTTGATGTTTTAGCTTCATATCAATATGTATGCACGTAAAGTTCGCAACTTTACGTGTTATGCAAGCCCTAGAAGTCCAGATCTATGAGTTGGATGCATTGAAATCGTTTAAAATCAACTGTATGGTGATGGCATGTCAAGGACTCGACGAGTCGCTCATCTGACTCAGCGAGGTCAGGTCGCGAACCCTTTATACTTGGCACTTTTATAGCTTAGGTTTGATAAGTTATGTAGACAAACAAATCTTTTTTACTTGTGTGGGATTACAAGTGTAAAACCCATTATACTTGGCACTTTTATAACTCATTAGTCTAAACACACTTGTGATTACAAAAATACATGAATTCAGAACGATAAAATAAATTCTCTTTTACTTGTTTGGATTTACAAAGGTAGAACATGTTGCACGTTACATGTTTATAATTCATTGGTCTATACACATTTTTTATTATAAAAGTAGAAGAAGTCAAAACAATAAACAAATATATTTTACTTGTATATGTTTACAAGGGTAGAACATGTTGCTTTTTACTTTTATAATTCATTAGTCTAAACGCAGTTTTGATTATAAAACCATGGTTGTAGAAATCGGGAAATCGGCAATTAATCGTGGATTAATCGTTCTCCAACTGTCGAGGACTAGGGTATTAATCGAAAATTTAGGATTAGTCGGCTTTGGCAGGATTAATCAGTCAACAAAAGTCAACAAAAGTTGAAAAAGTCGGAAAAAAAGTCAAAAAAGGTAAAAAAAAAAAAAAAAAAAAAAAAATCAGAAAATCAACTCTTTTTTTACTCCAAAATTTTCAAAATTTCGAAATTTCAAATATAATACCAAAATGTTCATATTTTCGTATTTTCAAATTTTCTTATTTTCTAATTTTGAAGTACTTGTTTTTCTTAAGATATATAAATATTTGATTAATTTTAATATTTTTTTAATAATCTATGGTCCCGATTAATCTCCGCCAATACCGATTAATCTCTTAACATCATTCGACCGTCGAGCGATTTTTACAACCTTGATAAAAACATACATAGTCAAAACATATAAAGTTCACCAACATTGTTCTTGATGTATTGTTTTCATACGTATGTATCTTCAGGAACCTATGAGCTGCAAGACACACCTTGTGTGTAATGGAATAATACATTTCTTGTTTAAATGGTTGGCCGACTTGTTAGGCCTTTTTGTTCCACTTTGACTTATGTTATGCAGAACGTGTTTAAGTAGTTATCGTCTGTTAGATTGTCAACAATGTAATTCCTCATACCGGATTTATGGAAGAATGCAATGTAATCGTAAATCCTTGTATTATTCAATATATGTTGTTAAATGTGATCCAAACTATTACATCGCAACCGCAACGTTTCTGTTGACGGTCGGGGTGTGGCAATACAACATCAAAAGTACTTACCAAATCTCTTTTAAGAAATATTCTATATTTCCACATTCAATCGGGAAGCACTTTTGAATCTATCTCTCATTCCTCTTCCTTTCGTGTTTTTCAACAAAACTTGGTCGAGGCAATATGTATCAGACACTTATCACTCCAATCATGGTTTTCAGTTGAACTATGGTCATGGAGGCACTAGTGGCCCTTCACAACCACCATATAACTTCATATATCCAACAACCTCTTTCTTAAATATGTGTTGCTATGGTGTAGATAGAGGAGGAGGTTGTGCTGGCTATGAAAAAATTTGTTGCAAGTAATCGAATGGGGTTTTTGGAAAGGCGATGATGGTAGTTTATGTAGAACGTAGTGTAGATGACAGAGTAGGCATTTCTGTCTATGATAGAGGGATACAGAGATGGTCGGCTAGGGTGGTGAGGATGTAGAGACAAATATATTTATTAGGGTAAATTACACGATTCGTCCCTACCGTAAGTGTCAAATTGCACATTGAGTCCCTATTTTCAAAAATTAACTCGGAAAGTCCCTCATTTGTTTAAAATTTTCACGTTTCATCCCTAATTTCGTTAGCTAGACATAAAAAGACGATTTTGCCCTTATCTTTATCTTTTTGATTTTTTTTTATTTGTTAGTTATATTTAATTAATTAAATATTTATTTGTTTATTTAAAGTAATGGACCCCACCACGTATACCCTCTTTATCTCTTTATCTCTTCATTAGAGCACAAATCAATTAGAAGTCTGTGTTCTCTTTGTCGCCGGTGACTGTGAATCTCATTTTTCCGACTTAATGAGAAAAAGGAGATTGATGAGAATGAGGAAGGAGCACCATGAATCTCATTTTTCTTGCTTAGGTGTTGCAATACATACAGTGGAGGAGGATATGCATCTAGTGACCTCCACTCTCCAGCCAGCCATTGACCTTCATCTCCGACTACCTACCATCACCTCCAAGCACCTACCAGTGCTCACATCTACTAAACATCAAAGAAGATGAAGGTTTCCGACCAGTTTTAGCTTCCACAACCCTTTGCCTCTAGCAACCACCACCATTTGCCTCCAACACCCACCTGTAAAGAGCCCCAAACCAAACCAAAATAAAAAAAGAAACTTGAAATTGGTTCCAGAAAATAAAATCGAAACTGGTTCCAGAAACTAAAATCAAAATCAAAATCCTACGTATGGTGGTTGTCTTCTTCTCCGGAAATCACTTCCATAAAAAACAAAGGAGCTTTCAAAGAAATCAGCGAGAACAGGAGACTCAATGCAAAAAAAGCTCCACCCGAACCCATCTTGTTCCACTCTTCCTTCGTCTTCTTCGACCACTCTACGAGTTGCAGGTATGGTGGTGGCATCGTTTTAGCGACGTTGTTGGAGGTGTTCAGATCTGATACATGGAGGTGAAGATTTGAAGAGATGATGAAGACCTCAGATCTGATACAGGGTTGTGGATGCAAGTGATAAAAGAAAGGGGGAGGAGAAAGATAAAGGGAAAGGGAATAATATCAGTTTCGTGATGGTTGTTTCCGGCAGGAGAAGCGATGTGCAGGTGGAGTGAACCGATGGCGGTGGTGGCTCCAACAACCCATTTCTCTCTAGCTTCGGGGACCCATGTGAAGGAGATGAACCAACTGGGATTGAATGGTGTGGGTAGGATTAGGGTAGATGGTAAGTGTTTGGGGGTGGTGGGCCCATTTTTTGTTTTCTAGATTTTTTATTTTTCTTTTAAATAGTTAATAACAAACAAGTCATAAAATATATCAAAAAAGAAATAAAAAGGGTAAAATAGACATTTTATGTCCATCAGGGATGATCCGAGTTAAAAAAATACATTACAGGGACGGTCCGAGTTAATTTTTGAAAATAGGGACTAAACACGCTTTTTGGCACCTGCACGAGGGACGATTGGTGTAATTTACCCTATTTATTAAGAGTATGAGAGAGAAAGGAT